TATAAATTGGCTACGTCCACGGGAAGAGGGAGAGCAGTTTTATTATGGAGAGGCAAAAAAACAGAATTACAGAATAGGGTTTGCCATAGCGTCTATATATAGTGCTAAGCTACGCCCTAACAGGCTTGGGTCCAAAATACAGAATTGACAGATAATTAAGGGCCCAATTCAAGGCATTCAACAAGTTTCATATGTTCAACACTTGATGTCCTCTAATTATTTCTATTGCTAGTTTTTGTTAGATTGCAATATCTACCTACCGAACAAAAGAAGTAAAAGAGGACCCAATTTGCATTACTTTACTACTTATAATAAGAGGCTATAAACATATAATTTTGGTCCATATATATGTTTGGTCCTCCAGATGTGTGGGGCTACTTTGGCTAGAAGCATGCAATTTGTCGATATGTTTGCTAACGACTGTATTCAAAATTCTCTCAATTCAATGATTATGTGTGTTTTGAATTTTTTTAGAAGTCCAAGACCTTGTTATTCAAAACATCAAATAGTTTGAGTAGGTATAGACTATTTTTAGTTATATCCTTTAAATGAGTATTTATTCTTTCTAGAAGTCCAAGACCTTGTTATTCAAAACACATCAAATAGGTTGAGTAGGTATAGACTATCTTTAGTTATATCCTTTAAATGAGTATTTATTCGAATTTAGACTATTTCTAGATCAATGATCGAATCTCAAGTCCTCGATCACTATTGAAATTTTACCCAATTTCACTTTTTTTTCCAAGTAAAAATGAAATTAAAGATTTCAATCAATATTTATAATTCTCGATTTTTAGATTAAACCTTAAAAACAATGATAAATCTATGCATAATAATCAATTTTAAGACTATTCAATCTCTATCCAATCAAGATTGCTCACTCATCATGCACGTACCTCTAGACAAGAGTTAAGCTACTCGTAACAAATGAAATAAAAGTTTCATACCGAAATAGTAACACTTCGTTGCATTCATATCCAACCACCAAAATCATATCCAAGTTTGAATATATCCACCAATTGTGTTTTCTTCTTTAATAAGCAAAGAAAAAGTACTACTCTCTACTACTTGATTCTACAATGTCTAATATATCTAACTGAAAAGAAGAATACACACATCCCTAAGCTGTAATTTAGGTTCCAACAATCCATGATTGAATAATCTTTCTTTTGGCTTTTGATATTACAACACCTAGTGAATTTTTAGGAGTTACATGAAGTAATATTGAATCAAATTTTTAGGCCCATCTTGAAATTTCACAAAATTACTAGTATCATGAGAATTACTACATCATAGAATCTAAAAACATCATGGAATCCGTATCAGTCCCCTACATACAATATCTTTGTATCTATGCATTTGTAGCTTCTAAGCTAAGGCGCAAATATACATTGTATCGATTGAAGGAGATGAAAAAAATGATGGTATCAATGTTGTTGTGCCTAATCTCTTTTCATAATTTTATATTTATTCTTTTTCTTCACTTTTACTATCACAATTTAATTTAACACATTTATTAAGAAAATATTAGTGATGTAAGTGTTTTTATCAAACTATCCGTAGTAAATTATATTTAGTGTTAAGTCTTAGAAAATAATTTGCAAAACGAGTATCTAATAATGAGGGTAAAATATGAAAATATAATGTCTTTCCTTGATATAGCAAAAGTGATAAATAAAAATAAGAAAACTTATTTTAACAAATAAATGATAAGTAAATATTTCTTAAAAAGAAAAACCATGTGAGGTGTGTGTGTGAGAGAGAGAGATTAATAGAGATGGATGAGATCTAACTATTTTTAAGCTATACAACATTAAAGACTATTCACTGCCGTCAAACCTCAACCATTAGTAGCCCACATACTTGGACCTAAATAAATAAATACGTAAATACTTCCTCGACTTTATGTCAACTGAATTTTCAAGCAATATATACTTAATAAGAAAATAATTTTAAAACATAATTAAAATTATATTTTTTACTCTTATTCTTTATAAAATTATAAATATAATTTTATAAGTATGTAATTTATATTTTAAAAAATATCAAAATCCATTAAAGGAAATGATAAATATGAAAAAAAATTCAACAACTTATTTTGAAATAAAAACAATTCAATTATTTTGAACAATGAAAAAAATCTCAAAAATTCAATTAATATGGTGTAGAGAGCAAGTAATAATTATATATATATATATATATATATATATATATATATATATATATATATATAAGAAAAAAGGATAACACACATGCAATCCCCTAGACTACGACTAAAACCCACGTTTCATTTGTTTTTATTAAGATTAAGAGGTATGAATCTGAATGCATATCTGAATATTAAGATTAACATTAAATTAAGATGTCAGAATATGAATATGAATATGAAAATGAATATGAATATTAAGATGTAGTTTCTAGGTCTTAACAATAAATCATTAAGATTGCTTATTTTCAATATCTGAATGTGCATGATCATTTTTTTAATTAGAATCAAACAATATCAATAAAAGTTGTCAGCCAAATCGAGAATACTTCTTCCAAACAATTGTTCTTAGAATAAGATTATAACCCGCCTCACAAAACAGATGATTTATTTCTCGAGAAATAATGATAACTTTTTCCAAAGAAGTTGACAACAAACGAATTGTGACAAGAAGAGTTCTTCATAAATATCAGTTTCACTCAAGAAGATTTTATACATTAGAAATATTAGATAAATACTTGTAAAAAATTATGAAAACTTACTTATTCAAAAGAAAAAAATGATATTGTAATACCCTATATTTAAACAAGGGCATAGAGGTCATTTAACTCTCATAAAAAATCAGAAATTTTTTTTAAAAGGGATAAAAGCCTTAACAGAATAGCAACATTGGTGCAACTTAAAAAAAAAAATTTAAAAAAAAAGAGAAAGGAAAGAAAATGCAGCTGCTGCGTTTCTTTTCCAGCGAAGGAACAAGACGATAAGAAAACGTTGAAGGGTGAAAACAGTAATCGGCGTAGGAGGAAAAGGAGGTTTGAGGTAAATCTTTGTTTCTTTTCTTCTACAAACTTGCTAAGAATTCTAACCCAGGTAGTTTGTTTTGGGGGATAGAAATCTGATTGCTAGAGATTAAAAAATATATAGAATTAGTTAAATAAGATGGATAAATAGATGGAGTTAGTAGTTTATTCTCCAACTGAATTACTCTTCGCTTGAATTTAAATGGTTCGTCAAATTGGTAGGCAACCAATAGGTCCAAAAGGGGCTGAATATTCTGAATTTAGCATGAAATAGCCTAAATGAAGGAGTTAACATGAAATTGTTATGAATGTGATTATAGATTGACCAGAGAAATTCGTACAGATTAATCGAGTGGCAAGCTTGGTAATTCGACAGGATTACAGTGAGTAGCAACAATTTGTATTTCACAAATTTCATAATTTTTTACATGATTTATAAAGTAAATGTGTTACCGACTGTTTTGAACAAGCATGTGGGACAATTCTTTTACTGGATACGATATTGAAAAGATTATTTGAGATATCTCATTCTTACAAGATATGATTACTGTTATTAAAGGTTTTACACTTAATTGAGAAACAGTATTTTGACAGGTGATTGTTGACTTTGAAATGATATGATTTGATATGTTTTAAATGTTCTGATTGATTTTGAAATGCTTTTACTGATTTTAAGAAGAATATAAATGAGAGTAGACCTTGATGAATCCCGTAGCTAACGACGGGATCGTTAGACCTGGTGCACCTTGTAATTACCGACAACTGATAAAGTCCTTGCTAGTGGGATAGTAGAACTAGTATACCGTTACTCATATCCCTCGAGTAAGGATCTACCGATATGAATATTTAACTCCTTTATGAGAAGTTCACTGTTATAGGTTGTTTCGTAAAGAGAAGTCACACTGATTACATGATTCATCCTTGAAAACCTCCCAACTATAAGATTTGATATATAAATGTTTTTTTTAGTTTACTATTAAGTATTTACATTGATTTTGCTTATATGAGGCACATAACATGGATATTAATATGATTTCTAAAAAAGCATTACCTCACCATTTGATTATCACACTAGCATGTTTTTTGACTTGTCTCCAATTAAAATGGTTGTGTTTAAGTGTTATTACTCATTGAACTAGCATCTCACTCCTCGCTAATTGTTTTTACAAAGAACTCAGATAGTATTGAGGAGGATTTCATTAACTAGAGATTGTGATTTGGTAGCATTTGGTGAGCCCCGCATTGCTTCGCGTGGCAAGAGAACAATTGATTTGCTAGGTTTATTTAGTTTTTTTTTTAAACTCTTAGAGTCGCTCCATTTGTCAGATCTTATTTAAGTCAGGATATTCTTTCGAATTGTAGTCAAGTGACTAGTTTGAAACTCCTTTTCACATTTGGAGATAAATTGATTTTATTGTGTAACAATTACATCATTGATGGATTGTATGTCGTGGTTTTATAGTTGTTATTAGTTGTGTTGTGAACTTTTGAGACTGGGAAATTTCAGGATAGACATAAAACAAAGGATATTTTGCCCGATTTTCTGTAGAATTCTGGTAAGGCTGGCTTTGAGATTCTTCACCTTAGCGCCGCTCATGATCTCTAAATTGAATCGTGATAGATACTTGATTGGAGAAGAAGAGGAAGAAACTTGAAGCTTGTTCAGAAAAGAAACAAGGAAGAAGATAAATTTTTTTTTGAAGAAACATAACTTTATTGATAAAGATTGCATGTACAATTCTGTTCTAGTTTTGATTCTTCTCTCAAAAGATATTCATCCATGTTTCGAGAGCCGTTAGTAACATATTTCTCGAACAAGGATGATTTAATTTAACCTCATGAATATTTCATCAATTTGTGGAATATTCAAGATCTTAATCTCTTAATGAAATAGAGTTTGAATGATATTAAGACTCTATTATAAATCTAATTCACTTAGACTAATTAAGACCCATTAAGAGTTTTTTTTTTTAAAAAAAAGAAATAAATGGACTTAATGGAATAAATTTTAATGATTAAAATTCTGACCTAAAAATCAAAGGCAGTTAATACGCTGAATCTGAATTATTAATAATCAAACCCCTGCAAACAAATAAGACCTCGTATACACACTTTAATTAAATTAAGATCATATTATCTAGAATTTATTTCTCTTAAATAATTTTATACATTTTAAACTTATGTGATCCTTCATAACTCCACATAATTAAAATATGTTTGAGATATATGAACATGACATAAAAAAAATTGTACAAAATTATTAAGAACACCCACCTTTTTTGCCTGAATTTCTCCAACTACACCCATTTTCTTCTGTAATTTCAGTTCAGAAAAAGAAAAGTAAAAAGAAAATTAACATCACCAAACAAAAATATCCTATCATTTTTTTCACGAAACACGAAGCTAACAAATCAATACAGTAAACTAGGGTTCCCAAATTCCCTCTTCTTTCTCCCGGTATTTTTCCAATACTTCTCATACTTTCATGTTTCTATCGGAATATCTTGTTTTCTCAGCTTCGTCAATTCGAACTTTGCATATTTGCTAACTATTCTTGATTGCGATATTTTTCTAGCTTTGACTTTTTTTTCTTCAGGATTTCGTATTTGAGAGAAAAGGGAAGATTTGTGCATATTTATTTGAAAGAGGGAGGAATTTGCATAATTGTGGTTTATGGGTGTTTTGGTTTGTGAATTTTTTTATTTTTCAATTTATGTGTTATTTTCAATTTAGGGTTTCAAGGAGTTTATTGAATTGTGTGAGTCGATGGATTCTGAAAGTATGATCCCGTCTACCAGTGTGGTCAAATGTTGTGATTGCGAGTGCAATTGCTCCATAACGAGTAGTTCATTTTCGGGGAATTGGATACGCTGTGAAGCAGAAATTTGATGAATATGATGAGATTGAGAAGAAATTTGTGATCCCGGGTTTAGTTTTGCCGCAAGAGGCTCGTAAAGATATGGGAAATGAGTGTATTGCTTTAAGGGAAATGGTTTGTGGACAACAGGAGACGATTCAGGAATTGAGTGTTGAGCTGGAGGAAGAGAGGGAAGCGGCATCCTTAGCTGCTAATGAAGCTATGTCGATGATTTTGAGGTTGCAAAGGGAAAAAGCTGATTCACAAATGGAATTTAGGCAATTTAAAATGTTTACCGAGGAGAAAATGGCTCATGATCAGCAAGAGATGATGGCGTTGGAGGATTTTTTGTATTAGAGGGAGCAAGTGATTGAGTCGTTGACTTGTGAAGTGCAAATGTATAAGCACGAGATGTTGAGTTATGTGCTATTGGAGTCTGAGGTTGAGTATGATGGTGAGAAAGAGAATGGCTATTTTAGCCGGAACAATAGTGTAGGTGAGAGTTCCGATGGCCGCTTTGACATTCCTTCTTATGATTACCCTCCCTTGAAGAGCACTATAAATGAGAACCAAATGCATACTGAGGTTAATGATGAGGTTGTCGATATTGATAAATATGCATTTGGGGAGGCCCCACGATCATGTGATAATTTGCGATATCTGGGGAAGAGGATCAATCAGTTGGAAACAACACCAAGTAGTCGGACTAATGGGGAAGTATTTAACAACAATATCCTTGAAAAAGCAATAGTTGCTCAGTCTCCTTTTGTACCAAATAAAGAAATATGCTCAGATTTCATCTCAGGTTCTCCAAAATTTGGTGGAAGTGTTGGAAAAGCAGAAAATTCGCAAACAGAGGAGTATGCAAACTTAGGAAGGTGGATGAGTCATCGGAAGTTGGGGATGAAATGAGTGTCAAGGTTTATACAATTGACTCTATACATCAGGGTGCTGGATATAATGGTAACTCAGAGACCAAGGGTTTAGTTCATACCCCAAGAGATTCCCTAAATCATACAGATTTTGGAGATCCTCAGGTCACAAAGCTTTACCTTAGGCTGCAGGCCCTTGATGCTGATCGGGAATCAATGAGGCAGGCTATCATTTCTATGCGGACTGATAAAGCACAGCTGATATTGCTTAAAGAAATTGCTCAGCAGTGGTGTAAAGAAGCGTCTCCAGAAAGGAGGACACCTGTTAGGAAGACATCTGTAGTCAAGAGCTTTTCTTTCATCTCCATATTCAAGGTATGACGTTATATGTGATTCTTCATTTTTGTGCTCAATGATTTCATTTCACATATAAAGGTATGTGGTGCATGTGATCTCTCCTAGACCATTGCAACCGAAGTAGAAACAATTATTGTATCATGATATAACCGTTACTGATTTTTATGAAATGTGTACTGTAATTCTAGATCGTAGAGATGTTCTGGATCTTTCATTTGCAAGGTGTGCTGAGCCACTTTATATTACAAGCATTACCTTCTCTTGTTTCTCTTCCCTGATTTCCATTTCTGTGAACCACTACATCTCATCAAATTTGGTTACAATCCCATTACAGTGACAATTTTGACCTGAAGTCATCTTATGTCTCTTCAATTTAGTTTTTCCAATTTTAGTACTCTATTTCTTATATGATAACAAAAAATGAATGCCAAACTATTGTCATGTATATGGTGTCAAGTATTTGTAAAATAAAATAGCGTAGTTTACTTATCATTATGACTTGAGCTCTCGGGCTAGAAGTGTTGATCGATGAGTACTATTGGTTATTTAGGATACTTTGTTTTATGCATATTTTCGTTGATTGTAACACTTTTGTGCTTCAATCAACTACAATAATATTTTTTCCGGTTTGTTGATGTTGTGACTATTCTATGTGAGGATCGGTCTTGTATTTGTTTGTTTCCTACTGGTTGAGGCTTTGGAAGAATGCAAACTCTCACAAATTTTAGTTGTCAACTTATTCTGCAGTTTTGTGTGTGTAATAGGATAAACCTTTCTGAATATAAAATACAACTAGTACACCTCTATCCAAACTAGTTGGAATCCGATTCATGAATCCTTTCTATCAATGTTGCTCCCGTTGGTCTGTATTCAATATTGTGAGTATTGATCATAATAGACCAGTTTTATTGCTTTCTACGTAACGCTACTTTCCTCCTTCATCCGCGTTTGGGCTGAAAATGTGGGCATCACACTGTATTCAGTTTTTCAGAAAATAAAATGATGAGGTAAATATTTTTCTGGTTCGCAAGCTGTTGGGTTGATAATATCCCTTGCATTACCTCCATTTGGCGTGAGCCGTGGAATATTTTTGCTTCATTGGGTTGGCTAGAATTGGTATGGCTAATAGCTAGTCTATTTAAGAAAAGTTTGGTTTGTATATTTGAATAAAATATTAAACTTTTTGTAATCATCAAATATATTGACCTCCTAGAGCTTATGTTTAAGTAAGATATTGAGCCTATCCAAGAATAGGAAGAACTCAATGTGAACATGAACTTTGGGTGGAACAACATTCCGAGTTATATGAAATCTGCTACTGGGATTACTTTTGACCTCAGTTTGAGATCTTGATGTATTATTATATGTTGCTCTATTGTTGATGTACCTAATTGCTTTCTCCAGTTTGACTTGTATGTTTGTCTCACATCTCTCTTCACTGGTTATTTTGGAGGGGTAAATATTGATTTAAGGAGAGTAGAATTTTGGATGAGAAGATTATAGATATTAACTTTTGTATATTAATTTTTATTTGCTGAACTTTGTTTATTCTTGATACTTCTTCCTTTCCCTTTCTGTGTGGGATAGAGAGCATAGAGAATCTATTTTTGCTTTTTGGTATCAAAGTTTTCCCAACCTTGCTCCCTGCCTTTGAACTCCAATTATTTCTTTTGGCTCTCCCGTGTCATGTTTTCTGGTGTATAATTGCTGATATCATATCTGTTTTTTCCTGTTCAGTGGATAATGTCTGTTGTCTTGTGGAGAAGGAAAGCACATAGATGCAAGTGAGTTTTGATCATTAGAAAGCTATTACTATGTTATGTAGTTGCTTTTACTGTATTTCTTCTAAAGGAAAATCTGTTATCTGAGTTCTAGTTTGAGTCAGTTGAGTTTGGCACTGAAATAATCAATATACTTGTTTAGGTACTTGTTTGGGTTGACAGCCAACAGGGTGGGCTTGCTTATGTTGTTAGACAAGGGACCTCGTGTTGGGCAATGGAGATGTCTTTCAAGTACGCAAGTGTGAAACCAACACTCTTTGGTCCACATCGACTTCCGCATCTCTTATGCTCATCTGCATGAAAGCAGAGCGGATTTTAGTCAGATAGTTGCTTTTTGGATGTTCATTCATTTGTTCTCGCCCTATATGCCTTGCTGCTGCGAATTTGGGTACTGGATTACTTTGTGCGTTGTTCTTTTCACTTGATTGTTGGAATTGAATACATCTTGATGAAACATTCGGCAAAAATTATAGTTGTTCCTCAGCCATCTAGAACTTGGATCTTATGGTTTGGTGGAATTTCACTTTAGGTTAGTTACTTTTGTATATTGTAGATTTGTGAATAATCTTTTTTTGGTGGCCTCTCAATACAAAATGAGTGCTTTGTTTGGTATTGAAATGTAGTTGATTAATTGATTGAATAGAATGAGTGCAGTTTTGCATGTCTTTAAATAAGTTCTCTTTTCATCTTAACTTGCTCGAGATAGTTTCAAGAATTTATTTGGAAGGTAGCGCAAGGAGTTCCTACCAGGTATGATATTTAATATTTGTTCTCTTTTATGAACTTTGGTGAAAATAAGACTCTTTTTGTTTTATTTACGTAGTAATTGACTTTTTTGCCTTTCCATTCTCCGGCCTTTTTCCAACTCTTCTTTTTCTGCCACTCTTTTCGTGATGACCTTTGATTCTTATTCTCCTTGCACCTGTGTTTTACTGTTTGTTTTATGTCAATCAGAGTTAGGAAACTATCTTGTTATATTCTAGTTTTTTTCATATATTAATAGATGCATAATCTTGATAACTTAGTAATGTCATTATACATTGAGGCGTATTTTAGTGTAAGTTGCACAGACATCCCAAAACTCTACATACATAGTTTGAGATATTCCTAGAGGTACTGGAATTTGATCTATCTAGTTCTAGTTGCATAGCCCAAAGGGGAAGCAGTATATAGATTGGTAATCTTATGAAAAGGTTCTCAATTCATTCCTTCTTTTGCAAGCAAATCTGCAACTTGACTAGTTCTCCGGAACGTGTGCAGATTCCCAGTTGCTCCATTATGAACAGGGAGTTGTTTGCCAGTGTGTTATAAGTAGATGAAGATTTGCAGTAATAATTTCATGGCTTCAGTTCTGTCTGTTTTCATTTCCAATGAATATAAACAATGCACATTAACAGTCTTGAACTCTTGATGCATGTATGTACTGCTAGTAATTCTGCATGTGTGTGGTTAGTTGCAGATAGACTGTCATGGAAGCCAAGAACCCAATCTCCTCTGCCCTAAAAGATATAAAATAGATAGTAATTCATATCTTAGAAAATTCATTACTAGTGAGTTTATGGAGATTTTATTTTGTAAATTGTTATGGTGATTGAAGTTCTAGGTGTGCCAGATGCAAAAAGGAAGGATGTTATATAAGTTATAATGAGCATTGTGTGTGTTATTGGGAGTGCTCACAAGCATGACAAGCCATTGAGATTGGTTTTGATTTAAAGAGGGTATAGTAATATGACCCAATTTTGTCCAAAAACCAAGAAAATATGCTTAATGGACTCCTTTGTATTTTCTTATAATTTAATGAGTAGATTATACTGGGTCTTGTGTTGATAGAATTTATATAAAAACGTGAAAGACATCTTTTGTGGTTGCAAAGTCACGTAAAGAAAACAATCTTTGTAGGAGCTCTTGGCCTCATTTGTATTTTTTAATTAAGATGAAGATGGTTGAATGTAAAATATTAAGATTTGTATCTAGATCTGAACAATGAATTATTTATATGGTATGTTCTTCAACATCTAAATATGCGTAATTTGTTTATTTACAACCATAATAAATATGCAATTCAAATAAAAAAGTACTTCTTTTGGTCATTTTTACTTGTCACTCATTAAGAAATAATTCTTGATATAGGTATTTTATCATACTATCCCTACTAAACAATGTTTAGTATTGGGTCTTGAAAAATGATACATAGAATAATGTTTAGTGTTCAGGGTCAAACATGGAAAAAATAATTTGTTTTTTCTTGATATGTCAAATATGACAAAGTAAAAATGAAATTTTATTTCAGGAATAAGTGACAAGTAAAAGTGAACAGAGGGAGTAATTAAATATTTGAAAAAAAATCAAAAATTGAATTAAATAAAAATACTTCTTGAATAAAAATGAAATATTTATGTTTGGCAGAGATGGTTTGTAATGATGGTTGTTATAATGGTATGTTACTAAATAATAATTGTGGTTGGTAATAATTGTGATGGTGGAGCGGTTGGTGTTTTAGAAATTGAGGTAATGACTGTGGTGGTAGTAGTTCTAATGGTGAAGTTGGTTGATGTTAGTAGTTAGAGGTGTTGATGATGGTGATGATGTGTTGGTGGTTGTAGGTGATGGTGCTAATTATGTTGATGGAGATGATTAGTAGTAGGATTGACTATAATGGTCATAGTGGCTCATAGAACAGTGATAGTCGCGGTGGAGGTGACGAGATGATGGAGGTGTTAGATATGGTGGTGGTTGAAATGAATGAAGTAGTTTGTAGTGGTAACTTAGTATTGCCAATGGTAATGGTGGAATAGTTGCTGGTGGGCAATGTTAAGCCCTTGGGGCGGAGCATGTATTTCCATAAATTGGACAACCCAAAATTTAGTGGCAATATAGCACACGAGAAATAATTAGGAATAGTGTTTCAAGTAGCTTTGGGTATAGTTCAATCAATATGAGAGGTATTTAACTGAAAAACAATCGATAAATTTATTCCTTGTATTGTTAATGATGTAGTTGAGATCTATCGATCTTCGATTTCTATGTAGAAAAACCTAAATATTATCAAATAAAAATAATTATGTTTCAGATTTAGAAAATGCTCTCAGGCACTTTAATCAAGGTATGTTAGCTTTTAGCTTAAATTATTCAAATTCTAGGTTTCAGATGGGTAGATCCGGCAAGGATGCCGGACCACACCCAATAGGGGAGGATATTATCTATTACAATGCAGGGTTCAAATCCTATGACATTACGAGATGCAAAGATGAGGGTGGAAAATGGTTTGAATGGGTGGAGCGCATCAGAAAATTGATGAGAGGAGTGAAAGTTAGCATTTAAGTATTCAAATGGTTAGTTACAGTATTTATTGAAGCTTCAAAGATACACGGAAGGACAGTAAAGGTGGAACATGAAGGACCACTTTGCAGAGTTTTATTACATACTTAAATACAATTGAAGTGGAAAATACATCAGCTTCATAGCATTACAAGGGCAAAAGAAGTCTGTCATAATAACTACTGAGCCCACACCCAAAGGAGGCTGGGGGAATATAGCTCACAAGATTGTTGGGTTCATTTATGAGACAACTAAAACACAGGGGACTACGTGAAGGACAGAAAATAGCTTCAGAAGTCTTACAAAGAAGCCCTCTTCCAAGATAGATGAATGACAGAGGCAACAGAGAAGGTCGAAATACAGAGTACAGCAAAAAAAATAAGTATCACAGCTGGTGAATCGCAACCGGTGAATGATTTTTTAAATAGGTGCATCGTAGGAAAATTTCAATGCCAAGCAGACGAAACCCCCAGTTTGAACGATGTAAGAAGATGGGCTTGTAATTCGTGGAAGTTGGCGATACAAGTCAAAGTGTATGCCATGAATGATGGATATTTCATGTTTGGACTGCCATCCAAAATGGTAGCAGAGCATGTGTTAACAGGTCAGTGGATCTGGAGAAAGATGAAGTTGGGGCTTGAATGGTAGAAACCAAAGATAGGATGTTGGCCGACAGAGATAAGTAGAGATTGGGTATGGATTAGGTTGTTGGGTTTACCTATGAATTTTTGGTCACAAAAAGTCTTCAAGGAGATCGGTAACACATATGTGGAGGGTTTATCGAGACAGGGGAGGAAACTTCTCTAAAGAATCCCTTCATTGGGCTGGAATCAAAGTACGATCTGATGGTAAGAGGATTCCCAGAAAAGTAGAAGTAACCTGCGATGGCTTTACTCACACCATTCCAGTATGGTGCGAAGCTCCAGTCGCAGTTAGACTATCTGAGGAGAGGAGTGAGGAGAAAGGCAAATATCCAGTGGTCAATACCCAGAATAAACTTTTGCAGAAGATAAAGGAGGCATAACCAATGAAAAAGGTGGATGGACACGTGGGGACTTCAATTAAGGTGTCTCGTATGTAAATGGGACTGAGATTTATAGGAGGGGAAAATAATGTGTATAGCAGGAAAAAATTAGGTCAAAAGGAATTTTTGGGCCAAAAAACTCTGGCCAAATTTTTTCGACCCAATTTCTGTGGAAAGTTCTAGTGCCCAATCATTAATATCTCATTCGACAGATATAGTACATATTAAGATATCAGCAAACAAAGCAAAGGAAAATAAATTTCAACACCAGATCACGCAATGGAATAGAGGCTGAAAGGAACTGGTAGTCGTGAGACAGAATGTGGAGTAGGCAGTCACGAATAGAGAAAAATTGGGGGAGAAGAGTATAACAGTAATTGTACAACCATTGGAGGAAGGGGATTTAGACGGAGGTACAGGGGAAGCTATTTCATTGGGTATTCATTTTCTAGAAGAAGACATGAACACTTCAGACTGGATGCAACAAAATATAATCAAACTAAGCTCGGTATTTAGGGTTAATTTTAAACGGTGTAAGGAAAAGGCGAAGGAGTTGTTTATGAGGATCGATAGCAATAAACAAGGAAACAAGGGGGAACAGAGTAAACAAACAACAGGCAAGAGGAAAGGAGTATTAGAACTAAGAAGGCTGCAATTGTATTCTAAGTTCTATAGCAATGATACTAGTAGTAAAGGGGGAGGGGGTTAGCCATTATGGAATGTGTCATGGAATGTGAGGGGGCTAAATTGTGGGAGGAAAAGGAGTATTATCAGGAACATGATAAGAACTTGGAAAGCAGATGTGGTATTTTTCGAGAGACAAAAATGGAAGGGGAGATTGCTGTTAAAGTTAAGTAAATCGGCGGTAGTAGATAGGCAGATTACATGCAACTCGAAGCTAATGTAACAAGGGGAAGCATAGTAATTATGTGGGATAAAAGAAGATGGGATGGGGAAGTGAGTAGTGTCGGTGAATTTTCAGTTTTTGTTTGTTTCTTTGGAAAGAATCTGGATTTTAAATGACATCCAACAGGTGTATACGCCCCGAATGATAGAGCAGAAAAGGAAGAAATTTGGTGGGAGCTAGGGGCAGCAAGAGGTCTATTCACGTGCCCTTGATCCTATGTGGGGATTTCAAGACTGTGAGGTATCCTTCTGAGAAGTACAACTGCAACAGAATCAACAGGGCAATGAAAAATCTATCAGAGTTCATTGAAGACATGGAATTTATGGACATAGATTTAGCAGGGGAGATTTCTGTTGGAGAAAAGGTGACAACCACTCCACAACAGCAAGGCTAGACAGGTTTCTGATCTCTGAAAAATGGGACTCAAATTTCAGGAACATTAA